GGGCTTTGCGGGACACTCACATTTGCAATAAAACAAACCTCAACACTTTTCTTCTTTCACTCTGATTCCTCATAAAAAATAATTAAGTAGTCCAATTTCGTTTATTCCCATATCGCCACACCAAACTTTTAAATTTTTGCATCGACTAATATCGAAAATATTTTATCCCCCCAATTTTTAATACAAATAAAGCCCCAACTAAACCTCTTTTCCAAAATATTTAACAAGGTTTTTTTGTATCCTGGCAAAGCCGAAACTAACAGGGTTTTCTAAAGAGTTTGGCACCTTTAATTAAAACTGAACTAACCCGGGGAAAAAACCTTCCCATTCAAATACCCTATTAATACAAAATCCTTGGTCAGATTTTTGGGATATTTCCCTTTCACTTTTCTCAAAACTTTTTGGGGACCTTTGTTTGATTATACAAAAGGGAAAAAAAATCTGTTCACCTTCCTTATAAAAAAACTTCTTTTAATGAAAGATAAACCATTTTAATATTATTTTTTGAACAGCATTTTATTCGTAAATAAGTGGGGCTAACAAAATGTTCCATTTTTTTAATTCTGTGCTAAAAGGCAATATATATTCAACACTTACTTTTTCTTTCCCGGACAAGTTACTCCCTAAAGGAAAGACAAAGGCTCACTCTGTTTTAAAAGGGGCAAGCTAAATGACTGACAGCTCAGATAGCTCACCTTCATTTGGGCCAAAAAATTTTTTTGCAGTTAAAATAAGTGTTTACATTATAACAAATTTAAACATGTCGCAAGAGCCATTTCTTTCTAAGGCCAAAAGTTTTTGAATTTCAATGACTAATTAAACCCTCCATTGATTTAAAGGGGCAGTCAACAAAGCACATAATAATTATCTTATCCCCTCTGCTGATTGCTGACTGTGAGGTATATGTTTCACTGCCATGCTGAGTCTGTTCATTTATTTGCGTGTGAACAACTATGATTCAGAAAACTTGCGATTCCTAATTTTTATATTTGGCATGGCAACCGAGTAAACAAAGTATTTGTGTAAAAAAAATACCAAATCTGCTATAGTGAACATTGTCCTATTACTTAAACGCGTTCCCGCTCCACCTTATAGCAGAAATAACTGCTGCAGGGCGGCACGGGTGAAGCAAAAAAATCACGTATACATATGTTGATTGTTTCAGTCTGGGTAGAGGCGCAACTTTCCCTACCTACGCCGCCATTCACCGCCTCGGCTGTCCAACTCACTGGGTCCCCGGCTGGTGATTCCCCGCCAGCACCCGGTATCCTCCTAACTCCAACTGGGGGGGAGTAGGACCTGTATGGTAAAACCATACAGATCTCTCCCCTGTCATACACATGCACACTCTTTGTATGGCTCTGCGTAGCCAGAGCCCACACAAGCAGTGTGCGTACAGTGTAAAGCACACCACAACCCACCTAAAAAAAAAAATAATAAAACCGCACACAGTTAACCCATTGATTGCCCCAAATGTTAACCCCCCTTCCTACCCCAGTGGCCATTAGTAAAGTGTCAGTGCTTTTTATTATGCAACTGATCACTGTACTGTGTCACAGGTGATGTCAGTAACCACCAAGTCAGTTCCCACCAGTGGTCAGAATGCGCCTGCAGTCCTCTCATAAGTCGCTGATCACTGTGGGGGAAAAAACGATCGCGCGTCCAGACCCCCTGACCTTTCTCACCAATACCTCCTGACCGAAGGACTTAGCCAATCCAGACACCGCGAGCGTAACAATGCCATGCCCAGCTGCAACCTGCACAACGAGTGTCCTGCCTAATGGGACCTACAATCTATGTACCAGCAGCCTGAATGTGATTTTGTTTAAACTGGGTCTGGTTAATTACACAAATTAACCCTTCACACTGCACCCACCCATCCTTTTTGTACAGAGAAAGAGGAAACATCCGCATACAACACGAGATGATTTGTGTTGTATCGGTCGGTATATACCCGCGAAAGCCATCTCACAGACAGGTATATACCGAGGTTAAACACTCATAGTCGCGCTCTTCAGCGGCAGGGATTCGTTTTTAAGTCACATTGAAAGGTCTATATGTCAGGAATTGACTGGCCAGCAATGGTGGGGTGACTCACCTTGCCTTTTGAATCTGCAAGTACCACGCTGGCCAGCGTGTCTCCCGCAATCAGAGACACAATCTTTCAGCCAAGCTATCACCTGGAACTGATGATACTGGTGTATTTAAGGATGGCCCAGACCTTGCAGACTCTGCCTTGGTTTGTGTTTGTCCTGTGCCCTGAATCTGTTCCCTGCATCCTGTTCTGAGTCCGTGCTACCCGGTTTCTGATCCCTGTCTTGTGACCCGAACCATCCCTCTGCCTGACCCTCTGTAACTACGCTGCTTGCTACCTGTTTATGATCCCTAGTGCTTGATGACCCTGACCATCCCTCTGCGTTACCCTCTGTACTCTACGCTGCGTTGCTACCTGGCTGAACCTGGCCTGTGACCCGACCATTCTCCGCTTTGCTCCCCCTGTACCTACCTGCCCAATTGATATTGACTTTCGGCCTGACCTGACAGACGCTTGCTTGTATGTACTGTTATCTGTGGTTATTGTTTGGGTTTGGTTTGTTTGCACTTGTATGTATGTTTAGTATTGCACTGCGTTTATGTTTTGTATTGTTAGTGTTAATAAATTACATTGTTATCACATATCTGAAGTCTGCGTTTCACCCTGCTTCATTCCACACACTCTGTCAATCACCTGGGAGCCCTGACATTACACCAAAGCCAATCCCTAACCAGAAGTGGAGTGCACAGGAAGCCATCTTTTTTTTTTTTTTTATTTTTTTGTTCTGGGCTCTTGGCTTGTTATGGAAGGATGGAAGCTGGCTGAGTTTGTGTAAAGTTATATCTGCTAGTGTTAGATGACAGGTAGTATGCTTATCAAACTCTTGAAGGAGTATAACCCCGGGGATGAACTGCTAGAAATGTAAATGGCTCGCTCATGGTCCTAGGTAAATCAGGGCACAGAGTTTCTCTGAGTACACGCTTTTGATTGAGGTTTAGAAGCAAGAGTTGGTTCCATCGGGTACCTCCCGAATGCAGGGATGAATTTTTTGCCACCATTTTAGTGCAGACCCAGTATAGTCCCCAGGTGTGGTATTATTAGAGATATGTGGTTACTTATCCTGGAGCGTTATGCCACAATGTTCACCACAAGACACTAAGAGATTGTATAAATACTCAGTGGCAGTCAATTGACCGACGAACAGTCTTTGTGTATGCTCAGCTTTGTTCAACCCATACTGCAGACCATGGACAGACTTCGTTGCACTCCAGCCTCACTCAGCTTACAAAAACCCATCCCCTGCTGCGTAACTCCTACTCCTGTATTCCCACCTGCTCCCTCCATTACAGCCCAGTATAACTTGCTATCTACCCGCATGTCAGTACCACTGTTCCCCTCTCGCTGCTACCTATCCTGCCTTTAACCCTGCTAAAAAAGCCCTCTGTAGCAACTGCTTCCCTCTCCCTGTCTCCATCCTCCAGTTTCTTCTCTGTCCTCCCAGCGCTCCATTCGTTAGCAGACCTGCGTTTACTTGCAGTGCTCAAGTAGTTGAAAATCAGAAAAAAGCGAAAATTCTCTCCAACCAATACCATCCTGCCAGTATCCTAACCGTGAGTCTGCCTTCCCTGGGGGTTTTTTTTTTTGATTTTTCAGCACTGAAGCCTCTACTCAGTCCTAAAGCCTCTAACTACTTCAGCCTGAAGCCCTCTACTCAGCCTGATGCCTTGTACTACGGCCTGATGCCTGTACGCAGCCTGATAGCCTCCTCTTTCAAGCCTGAGTGCCGTACGCAGCCTGATGCCTCTCTTCACCATATGCCTGGTATGCAGCCTGATGCCCTCTCTTGCGAGCCTGATGCCTCTACTCGGAATCCTGAAGCTCTCGACTCGGCCTAAGCCTCTACTCGGCCTGATGCCCACTACTTCCGCCTGAAGCCTCGTACTCGGCCTGAAGCCTCTACTCAGCGAACGCCCGCAGTCAGCCTGAATACCTCTACCCAGCATGATGAACTGATCCAGCCTTAAACGATCCTATTAGGGCCCAGTTAGACTCGATGCCCGCTGTGATCCAGATGATCCGTTAACTGATCCGTGCCCGCTGTTCGTGCCAATTGACTCAGAGCCCGCTGTCGTACCTGGTGAGCTCGGTGCACACTGCTCTTGCCAGATGACGCTGTGCCGCTGGCGAGCCAAATGACGCTGCATGCCTGTGACCCATTGCCATCTGTCATAGCCTGGTACCCGATGCCCGCTGTCGAGCCAGACGAACCAATGTCCTGGTGACACCGGTCCCCAACTGCCCTTGCCAGATGACGGCGCTGCCCCATGGCAAGGCCTAATGGACCTGAATACCTGGTGACCCAGTGCCCGCTGTCATACCTGGTGACCCTATGCCTGCTGTCGAGCCCAACAATCCGGTACCTGATGACCCGTGCCCACTGTCGTGCCTGTGGACTCGATCCCCCCACTGCCTTGCCAATGACCGTGGCCCGCTGTCAGCCAAATGACCTGAAATGCCTGGTGACCCGATGCCCGCCTGTCCAGCCAGACGATTCAATGTCTGCCCCAGTGCCCGCGTCATGCCAGTTGACTCGGAACCCACAGCCTTGCCAGATGACGCCGGTGCTCGCTGTCAAGCCAAATGACTTGATGCCGCTGGTGACCCATGCCCGCGGTCCAGTCAGACATCCAATGTCTGACCCAGTGCCCGCGTCATACCATTGACTCGGACCACTTGCCTTGCCAGATGACGCGGTGCCCGCGGTCACCCACCCCCCCCCCCCACCCCCCCCAAATGATCCTGATAGCCCTGGTGACCCATGCCCGCTGTCCGTCAGACGGACATCCAATGTCTACCCAGTGCCCCGCGGTCATACCAGTTGACTCGGAGCCCACTGCCTTGCCAGATGACGAGCGGTGCCCGCGGTCCGATGCCAAATGACCTGATGCCTGGTGAGCCCGATGCCCGCTGTCCGGGCTCAGACGATCCAATGTCTGACCCAGTGCCCGCGGTCATACCAGTTGACTCGAGCCCACTGCCTTGCCAGATGACACGGTGCCCCTTCAGAGCCAAATGACCTGATGCCTGTGACCCGATGGCCCGCGTGTCCAGCCCAGACGATCCAATGTCTGACCTAGTGGCCACGCGTCATGCCAGTTTGACTCGGAGCCCACTGTCGTTGCCTGAGACTCGGTGGCCCCTGCTCCGCCTGGGGGCCCGAGACCTGTCGCTCCGCCTGGTGGGTCCAGCGCCCGCCGCTCCACCTGGGGTCGAGCCGCGCCCGCCGCCGCCCCGCCTGGGGGGCCCGAGACCTGTCACCCACTAACTCTACTCCGCCTGAGGGCCCGAGACCTGTCGCACAGCCCTGGGGTCCCGCGCCCGGCCGCTCCGCCTAAGGGCCCGAAGAACCTTCGCTCCACCTGGGGGTCCGGCGCCCGCCGCTCCCCCGCCCTGAGGCCCGAGACCTGTCTCTTCCACCTGGGGGTCCCGCCCGCCGCTCCGCCTGAGGGCCCGAGACCTGTCGCTCCCACCTGGGTCCGCGCCCGCCGCGCCGCCTGATGGCCCAGACCTGTCGCTCCACCCGGGGTCCGTCGCCCGGCCGCTCCGCCTGAGGGCCCGAGACTTGTAATTTCCGCCTGGGGGTCCGGCGCCCTGCCGCTGCCGCCTGGGGCCCGCAATGCCTGTCGCCCCGCCTGGGGGCGCCGATTGGCCTGTCGCTCCCCGCCTGGGGGTCCCGATGCCTGTCGCTCCACCGGTGTCCGCGCCCGCCGCTCCGCCTGAGGGCACGAGACCTGTCGCTCCACCCGGGGGTCCCGCGCCCGCCGATCCGCCTGAGGGGCCCGAGGCCTGTAGTTCCGCCTGGGGTTCGGCGCCTCCGCCGCCCCGCGCAGGGCCCCCGATGCCTTCCAGCCCCGCCTGGGGGCCCGATGCCTGTTGCCCCGCCTGGAGGGCCCGATGTCTGTCGCCCCGCCTGGGGTCCGATGCCTGTCGCCCCGCCTGGGGGCCCGAGCCTGTCGCTCCATCTGGGGTCCGGCACCCGCCACTCCACCCTAGCCGAGGGCCCGAGACCTTGTAGGTTTCCGCCTGGGGGCCCAGGCCTGTCGCACCGCCCGGGCCCGAGCCTGTCCGCCCCGCCCGGGCCCGATGCCTGTCCCCCGCCCGGGGAGCCCGATGCCCTACACCTACTCACCCCGCCTGGGGCCCGATGCCTGTCGCCCCCCCCGCCGGGTCCGATGACTGTCGCCCTCGCCTGGGCCCGAGCCTGTCGCTCTTCCATCTGGGGGTCCCGGCACCCCCCGCTCCGCCTGAGGGGCCGAGACCTGTAGTTTTCCGCCTGGGGCCCGAGGCCTGTCGACCCGCCCGGGTGCCCGAGGCCTGAGTCGCCCCGCCCGGGGGCCCGATGCCTGTCGCGCCCGCCCGTGGGCCCGATCCTGTCGCCCCGCCCGGGGGCCCGAGGCCTGTCGCCCCCGCCGGGGCCCGAGGCCTGTCGCCCCGCCCGGGGCCCGATGCCTGTCGCCCCTCCCGGGGGCCCGATGCCTGTCCGCCCCGACTGGGGCCCATGCCTTTCCCCGCCCTGGGGTCCCGATGCCTGTCGCCCCGCCTGGGGCCCGAGGCCTGTCGCTCCATCAGGGGGTCCGGGCACCCCGTCGCCCCAGCCCGGGGGCCCGAGGCCTGCCGCTACCGCCCGGGGCCCATGCCCTGCCGCTCCGCCCGGCCCGGTGCCTGCCGCTCCACCCGTGGCCCGCTGCCTGCCGCTTCGCCTGGTACACCCGATGTGCCTCTGCCCGGTAGTCCTGCCCGATGTGCCTCTGCCCGAGTCCAGCCCCGATGTGCCTCGGCCGGTGTTGCCTCTGCCCGAAATCCAGCCCGATGTGCCTCAGCCCGGAGGTCAGCCCGATGTGCCTCTGCCCGAGTCCAGCCCGATGTGCCTCTGCCCGATCCAGCCCGATTGTGCCTCTGCCCGGATCCAGCCCGAGTCCTCTGCCCGGAGTCCAGCCCGATGTGCCCTCTGCCTCCGGAGTCCAGCCACGATGTGCCTCTGCCCGGTGTGGCTCTGCCCGTAGTGCCTCTGCCCGGAGTCATCCAGCCCGATGTGCCTCAGCCCGTGTAGCCGCTGCCCGAGAGTCCTCCCTGGTGTGCCAGTCTTGATATCCCGCCAGTTACCAACCCGGAGGTGGAACATGTTTTCTCCAGCTAGACTGGTTTGGAGCGTCCTGAGGGGGTACTGTCAGAATGGACGGGCCAGCATGGTGGGACTCACCTGCCTTTTGATCTGCAGTACCAGGCGTGGCCACGGTGCCCCCAGCAATCAGAACTCAACCTGATTCAGCCACTAACACCTGGAACTAGATGATACGGTGTATTTAAGGGATGTCCAGACTTGCAGACTCTGCCTTGGTGTTTGTTTTGTCCTGCCCTGTATTCTGTCCATGCATTCCTGTTCTGTCCTGGTCCATGCTACCTGTTCTGATCCTGGCTTGTGACCCTGACCATCCCTCTGCCTGACCCTCTGTACTACGCTGCTTGCCTACCAGTTTCTGATTCCCTGAGCTTGTGACCCTGACCATCCCTACTGCCTGACCCTCTGTACTACGCTGCTTGCTACCTGCTGAAACCTGGCCTTGACCCCGACCATTCTCTCTCCGCTGCTCCCCCTGTACCTACCTGCCCAAATTGATATTGACTCGGCCTGCCTGACGACGCTCTGCTTGTATGTTACTGTTATCTGTGGGTGTTGGTTTGGTTTGTTTGCACTGTATTATGTTTAGTATTGCACTGCGTTTATGTTTGTATTGTTAGGTGTTTAATAAATTACATTGTTAATCACATATCTGAAGTCTGCGTTTCCCTGCTTCAGTCACACACCTCTGGTCATACCTGGGAGCCCTGACAGCTATAGAAACAGTTCAACACTTTCAGAAAGTAAGATTTATTACTAAAAGGTCAAAAGGGTGCAGTAGAAATATTTACAGAAAAAAGATGTAACCAATATATATATATTTAAATATACAGAGCACAACAGCACAGCAAACAGGTAACAGAAAGAAGTTTAGGTAAATAAGTACTTGCCAAATAGATGCCTGGGGTTAAGCAGTTTCAAGTCTGATGAGCTCAAAATGATTTCTGGTCTCGCACTCAGTTTCGTTGTTACAGCGAGATTCTCCTTTCTCTTTGTCTGCTAGATGTTAAAATGCAGAAGGTCCTCACTCCTCTGTCTAACACACAAAGCGTAACAGCTTCTTTTCTACCCAAAATCCACGGGGGTATCTCTTACAACAGAGCCAATTGCCTTATTTAGTAAAAAGATTGTTAGGCAGGGGCTCAGCATCATACACTGATTGCATTCCTGATGGAGGGGGGAGATCGGAGGAGGGAGACTGATTTGTTTTGGGGAGAGATACCAAAATGCAGAAGTTTTGGGATCTGACCGTGCCACTCCCTGTGTGCATGATTGTTACAATCACTGCCATTACTAGTGAAAAAAAAATCCCAATAGTGTTATATACTGCCATTTGTAAATACTATAACTTTCACATAAACCAATTAATTTACATGTATTGGGATTTCTTTTTAGTCAAAGAAATACATTTTGTCCTAAATTTTATGACAAAATTTGATTTTTTTAAAAATTTTTTACTGGATTCGTTTAAAAGCAAATAGTAAAACAATATTGTTTTTTTTTTCAAAATTGTTGGGCTTTTTTGTTTATAGTGCAAAAAATAAAAAAATGCACAGCTGATCAAATACCACCAAAAGAAAGTTCTATTTGTGTGAAAAAAAAAGAAGTAAATTTCATTTGGGTGCAGCGTTACATGACCGCACAATTGTCAGTTAAAGTAACACAGCGCCATAACACAAAAAATGGCCTGGTCAGGAAGGGGGTAAATCCTCTGGAGGCAAGTGGGTAATTGTCCTCCCATCCCCATAGCCCAGGCTTTCTAATGTTGCTGTCAGCTCCTTTTCTTAGGGGGCATGCATGCACATTGCAGCCCTGTTTATTCCTATAGGTCAGTCATATTCCAGCCATAAGTAAATTTGTTATGTACATTTTTTTATTAGTAAACTGTTGCTAAGCTACAACTTATTTTGTCAACACCCCCAAGGACCTTTACACAGGCCTTACACTCCACAACAAACAAAGACCCCACCCCTGAAAAGTTCTCCAATATCGGGAAGGAAACCACTTCCCTGAAATGTCTGCCTAATTGCCAGTTCCTAGGGGTTTTTTTCAAGCTGTTTTTCACCTGGACCTTTTATTGTGTTGAAAAAAATGGAACCCTCATAATTCTCATAATACACAGTATACACAAGAAAGGAAAAAAAAATAGAAGTCCAAAGAAAACTAAATGAAAAAACCCCCCAAAAAAACCTAAATTGCCTTAAAGCAGTATATTAAACCCAAAATAAAATAGCAGATTACCAATTATTAGATGTGAAGGCTTTATTTGTTTTTATTTTCACCTGGTAATCTGGCCAGTAAGTCTGTAGTTTTTCACAGAACAAGCTCTTCTACAAACATAGTAGGTAGATCATTGAGATAAACCACTGACAGGGGTGTCTTACAATGATTAGCTTTTATTTATTCATGTAAAACCTATATCTCAAAAAATAAAAAAAAACTTTGATATAACTGCAGCTTGAGCTAGAGTTTGACTTCAAATTGTTAATGTATTTAAATCTGCTAGTACATCTAACACTCCCCTACCCCCAGACTGACAATGCTGCTGTCCAAAGGTGTCTCTCTTGCTCATTCATCCACAGTATAGGCCACTCTAATATAGGAGGTGTGTCATTGGCCAGACCACCAGGTGAAAATGGAGGGGAAAAGGACCTAAAAAAAAAAAACTAATGCCACAGCTAATGACTGAAAAGCTGCAGTACATATTTTACATTTTTAGTTTTGGGTTTAATACGCGCTTTTAATATACTACCCCCCCCCCCCACACACACACACACACAAACAATATTGTAAATATGTTTAAAAAAGAGTATATTGCATTTTTTTTCAACCAGAACTTCATCTAAGAATCTCAAATTTCAATGAGTAAAATTAAGAGTTTCTACAAGAGTTTCAGCAAGATTTTGATGCAAAATTAATTGTGCCAAAACCACTCTGTTAGTTCACACTTATGTACAAACTGGGACATCTGAGTTTATATATTAAAAGAACAAATTTCAAGGAGTGGGAAACTGCATTGATTTTTCAACATACTCTCCTGCTACATTTATACACTCATCCCAGAGTTTACTAAATGCCTGGAAAGCTTCGGCATAGAAAGATTTGTCAGCACTCCTGAACCATCCTAGGACAGCCTGCTTCATTTCGTTATCATTGTGTTCCCACAGAAAGATTTGTCTTGTTTGTTTCACGATAGGTTGTGCGTCCATTGT